AAGGGCACAAATTTATCAATGTTTGTTGGGTATATATCTCGATCGCGACTGAACTTGTGCTTTTCTGCTTCTACTTTTGTATTGGTTCCATCAACAATTATTTGCAACATATCAGTATCAAATATATTGTTCCAGATATCTAAAATATTGGTTTCCTGTGTGACACATTGTTTTGAACCCAGAAGCTGCAGAACAATATTTTCACTTTCTGACGTTCTTATGGGCAATATATTTAGCCCATTTTGTTTTATTATCTTTGCCCAAAAAATATGGACCAATGACAAAATCTGTCTCAATTTCTCATTTTCCTGTTCCGTATCGCTTCCGTCCAAGTTTTCTTCTATATGATCTTCTCCCGATTCCTCTTCATCATTATACTCATCACCCGTCGAAGCTTCTTCAAAAAGTGCTAACAATATTTTTTGCTCTTTTTCATAATCCATAATATCTGAAAAATAAAGTTTAATATAAAACAATTACTTACAAATTACAAAATTCTATTACTTCTTTAGACGCACACGGTCCACTGCACCAGTTTTACAAATTACAAACTTATAGTTCGAGCATTAACACTGCAATGATACATAGTCGATAAATGTACCTATCAAAAGAAGGTACAGATTCGGAGAAACTCGAAAAGTTCCGATTGGCTTTAGAATTGACCGTCATTGACTCCCACCGGTCTCCTAGACAAGCTGCGTCTATTGAAAGCAAGCAAGCAAGCAATTTAATTGAACCCAGCCTGTGAGAAATGTTCACCCCTAAGAATTACGTTCGGGTGTAACAATTCATTGGAGCGAGGTGTGTTAACTCGAGTAAAAACAGGAGTTACCCCACCGAGCTCCAATGCTCCAGACCATCCCTTTTCCCCCTCTAGCACTCTGATGGGCTATAGCGGCACAACTATCAGCCAAATGCTCTTCATGTGGAGGTCCTTGGTAATAGAACCCCAACATGGTTTCCTAACCGAATGCAAAACTCAGGACAGCGCATTTTCGCTATATTCTTGTTATCTTAAAGTGGCTTATCCGCGAACTAAAATTGCTTACTTGGGCCTTAAGTTTCCGTTCTGAGCCCCGGCCCTACGTGCCCGAGGTTTGGGGTTTTTGTTAATTTTTTTGTTGGTTTGCGCCGCTTTTTGTTAGTATTTTTAATTTTTTGTGTGTTTTTTTGGTTTTTTTTGTAGGTAGCCCTGAAACAAAAATCATAATTAGTGCAATATCTATACTATGACACTGATAATATATAAAATATAAAACAATATAATAATATAGAGTTTGTCCTCTTTAAGGCAACAGGGCCCACTTTGTAATTGGCGATTGTCCTTGGATGTTTTTAAGTTACGAACTGTCTTCATTGTGCTTTGTTATTGTTTTTTGAATTGTTGTCTCTCTGGTGTTTTGTTTTCTCTCTGGTGTGATTTTTATTTTTCTCTTTGGTATTTTGTGTTGATCAGATAGCCAAGCGGGCTAGGCGGCCGATTCTCATTCGCTTCACTGTCGAATGGTTCAGTGGATGTGTGTTCGTGCCCCAGCTCGGTGTACAGAAAAATAAAAAGCCTAACGCAGCAGTTTAAAATTCTAGATGAATCTGCGGCTTAGACTAGAATATGCTGGTGTCTTATCGGCCTATGGTGAAGTAGTACGGCAAGAGAAAAGGGCTTGCGGCTCGGTGATATTCCTCCATAGATCCCTACTGGAAGGGCGTGCCGCCTAAATACCGGTGTATGCTTCTGGTATTTTGTTTTAGTCTACTATTTGTTGTTTAGGTCTTTTGTGCTTCCATTTATGAAAATCGTCATACCTTATTATCTCTCGCAGTATGTGACTGGGGTGGTTCTCTATCTCCGCGAACTTTATCCTAGCTTTTTCTTTCATTGTATCAGTCACTCTGATTTGTTGCAATTCTCTAAGGAGGAATCTTAGATTAGGAGGTTGACTGCTTCTCTTAGGCTGTTGTTGTGTGCAGCTGCGTCTACTGAAAGGTTAACTGTATAACATATTTATATTTAATAATCGACTAATACAGGCACGAAGAGTGATAGAATATGGTTTTGGTGTAGTTTTGAACAAGTGGAGAATTTTATATCGGCGATAGATCTTCAACCCGATCATACAATCTCGGACGTTGACATACTCTTTGGTATGTTCGACCGATATAAACTTGTTTATATTCATTTGCAAAAAGTTGGCTTAATCTTGTAACTTACAAATAAAAAGGAAGTCAATAAATTACTGAGTAGCTGTCAGTCGTCTATTTATTTCGTCGTAATTACGACTATAAGGCTCTTTAAGGCAACTATCGCGAAAAAATCGCATCGTTTGTCGTTCTTCCACCAATGCTACTGATTTGCGATGCGATCAGTAACGTTCAAGATGTCGAGCAGTTCAGATGACGATGTCGTGGTAATGGCCTGGTACACAAGAAAAATTAAAAGGTAACGAAATTGGTGGACTCATTCTTATATAGCAAACAATAAAAATAGACGAGCTTTTACAGCCACGAACGAATTGGAGAAGGACAAGAAGTTTCGGTCATTTTTCCGAATTTCGAGACGACTCTTCAATGAACTATTAGAAATACTTCGGCCATACATTGTAACGACAATATTTTTCTTACCTCAGGGTAAGAACATAAGGTGTAGAAGATTGGGGGAAGAAACTAAGGGGGTGGAGATAGGGCAAGCAAAATAATCGCTACTTGTGCGAACGACACTCAGTTGGTCGTTGGAGAGCTGGGTCGTGGATAAGTTGAAATATGGGGGTTAGATTGGGGTATCTACTAAAATGAAAACAAAGGGATACTTACATAAATTTCCTGGATATAACAAACAAATCAAAAATAGACTAGGAACACCTCAAGGAATTTAATATAGGGCGCCACTTGAAGGATCCTAGTTTACTGAAGGAAAGAAAAAATTCTTCTTCCCTAATTTCTAAAATACATAAAAAGGGTTTAGGAGATTTTTCTAAATAAAAATAAAAAAATAGGTTAGAGAAACAAATCTAACGTTTTTATTGTCTCAAACAGTTTTTTAAAAATACAGCTTATTCAAAAGGCATACTATATAAAAATAGTTGTCAAATACAAATAAAGAAACTTACATGTTATCTGTTTACAAAGAGGTTACAAAAACCTTCGAAATGGTTCCTAGTAAACAACGTGGCCAAATTGGATTAAAATTTTATGGATATCCTTTTGTTAAAAATAAAATTTAATTTTTACTATAAAATCAAAATATCTTTTACAACAGATTCAAAATCAGACTGTCATACGTCAAAACAAACATTTTTAAGACAGGATAAAATTATGACCGATGACAGTTTGAACCACGCCCTAACATAATATTTATTTTAATTACAAATTTTTTTTTTTTAAATAATTTATAAAAGAAAGCAAATTTTGTCTTTTTAAAAGAAAATGTCTATTTTTACTTTAAAAATTAATAACGTAAATGTTACCTCAGTTCACACATGTTAACTTAAACTTTTGAACAACTGGCTAATAGGTATCTGTGGGGTATCTAACTGACCATTCATCAACGGAAAACTTTCTTGGAGGCTGAAACTGGCACACTGGCACATTCAAATCAAAACTGCTCCAATATCATTGTACGTGAGGTGAAGAGGCATCTTGGAAAGGAACTGGATTTCTCAAAAAAACGAAAAGAAAGCAGGAACTAAACTTGTTCACTTCTCATTTATTATAAATCTTCAGCAAAATCAAAACAGTGGTTAGTGGTCACTCTTTCAAATACGACATATTACATAGAGTGAAAATTCCACCATTTTTGGCGAATTAATGCCGGATTACCACATCACAATTAAACGACCTTTCTCTTCGAGCAATTCTTCATCACTAACTCTCTTGACCTCGATCTCAACCTGCCGGATAGATACCGCCTCTCTTTACCCCGCACAAGCATTGCTATCTTGTCAAATTAACAAATTCTTTACTCAAACTCGTCCAAACTTCCGGCGTTACTACGCTTTAGAAAAAAGAATACCAGGCTTGCACAATTTTTCTGCGAACGTTGAAGTTAAAAAGCCATAAATTGTTTTCCTTAGCAAATACGTCTTTATTTATTGAAGAATTATTGCGTATTTAAAAATCTCTACAGACAACAGATTTCTAGCATACCAGGGGCGTACTATGACAAATATAGAATCGAATTTATATTATTATTTAGACATTAAATATAAAACGCTACAACACAGCAAAAAAAAATAGGAAAGGCTACAGGAAAAGTGTCAGTGTAGAGGAAAGACTTCTGATTACATTGAGGTACCTAAGTTTTATTACTAATTATTTATTACATATTATTATAAGTATCTCTGTTGGTATTTATCAATGATTAAGACATGTCATACCATGTCTGTTGTGTATTGGAAAATTTTGTTACTGCTAGTACCAGATGAAGGAGGTGTAGAAACATATAAACGTGATGACGTGGAATCATTTGATGGTATAGATACTGTTGATGATGACCTGTTGTCTAGAATGTCGTCGAATATTTTGATTACTCTTCTTTTAAATTGACGCATTTGTTGGTTATTCATTAAGTCCGGAAGCAAACTCAACAAGGATCCGTTAGAAGTATTTATATATTTAGCACGTTTACAGAATTCTATAAACAATTTATCAACTTCAAATACTTCTTGAAGTCCTTTTCATTTTTTCTTTTCGGTTCTCTCCTTGGCAGGTTGAATTTGCTCTGCGATAGATTGTGTAGCATATTGATCCTCCTGTTGTTGTAGCTGACTCTGTAGCAACTATTTTTGCGGTTGAGTTGCAGTTTCGTTGCGGCGTTGAACAAATGGCCCAACAGGTGGATGTTAAATAAACTGATACACTCAAGAACCTGGTTCATAGAAATATTTTTAATTTGTTATAATACGTCTTAATTTTCTGGTAAAAAAATTTAAATTTGCTTCTTTTTCTTTTTATGTAAAGTCAATTTTTTTGAGAAAATCTAATTAGATATATATTTTTTGTTTCAGTGAGCCGATTACATTGCGAGAGCGAGTCTTTCAAAATGGACCTTATTCTGGACATCAACTCCTGGCTATATCCCATGGAATTGGGTAAGTTTCTTTATAATAATTTTCTGATAATAATTTTTTAATATTTTTTCTTACAATAAGTTTCTTTATAAAATGTAAAGGACTATTATTTACTTTAAAAACTTTAAATATATATACTGTATTTATTTATGGTTGACAGAAGGAAACTATTTGCTATAACTCATTCGATTTGAATAAAAACAAAGGTAACGTATACCTACTTCAACGAGCTGAAAAATCTAATTATTTTTGAAATACTTGTCAAAGTGTTGTAAAGTGACCCACTTTTATCATCATTGCACCAGAACAATTAAAATTACGCTATCATAAAAATCAATATTTAGGTTGGACTAAAAACTTCTTTCGGTGTTGAAAGTATTTTAAAATAACATTTTAAATGAGTTTTCAACTAGATAACATTTTTAATCTTACAACAATTTTCAACTAGTATAGTAAAAATCTAATATGCACTGAGAGTAAAAAATGTTTATACATTTTTTGTGAACTTTAGTGCTGATTTTGATACAGTTGATCGGCAGACCCTTTTTTACAAGTTTATTTACTTGAGATTATCTACTAAAGTGTACAATTTGGTATAAAGTATGTTCGCGAATACATAATCGGCAGTTTGGCCAAAGGAATGATTAGTCTGTAATGTAGGAGTGAGACAGGAATGTCTTTTAAGTCCATTGCTCTTTGCGCTTTTCTTGAATGACCTACACGAAGCATTGAGGCGGTTTGGAGATAAATGGTTTGATTATAAAACTTTTATTATATGCAGATGATTTGGTTTTGATGGCAATCAATCCGAAGGTGCTACAACGGATATGATCTGAAGGATGTATAATCTGAAAATAAATTTAGATAAATCCAAAATTCTTGTATTCAGAAGAGGAGGTGATGTGACCAAGAATCTCGAAAATTGAATGATCAAGTCTTAGAGGTAGTGATTAACTATAATAATTATTTGGGAATAATAGTAACGCCCAAGTTGTCGATTAAAGCTCACCTAAAGAACACCAAAGTTTTTGCAAAAGTGGCGTCTCACACGGCTTGGAGTAGTTTAGAGTCTACGGCTAATATACCTTTTTCGGCTAAAGTAATAGTGTCTAAGTCGATCGTAAGATTAATTTTGACTTATGGGGCCCATGTATGGGGTCTTTTTGAGTACGATGACGTGGAAACTATTTACTCACTGGATTTGAAATATAGGTAACAATCAAAAGATTGTATATGAAAAAAATGTTTCCTTGTCTTAACTTTGTGTTAGATTTAGGGACATATATTGCTTAAGTCAGTCTATATACAATGAATTTACATAAAAAATATATTGGAAGAATTCTAGGATATTCGAATGATAGTTTGCCAAAATTTCTTTTGAAAGAAATGATGAGAGCAAAGTGTGGCTGGTGGAAAGATTTGATGAGCATAGGAGAAAAAATTGGTATTGAGGTTAAGTGTGAATGAGAATAGAGAGATAGCTGATCTAGTGTGATTGAGAATATGATAAAAAAAGAGGGAGAGATACAGTGGCAAGACACTACAAAGAACTGCGAGAAGAAGGAGTAAACATACATTATCGATTGGAAATAGATCTCCCCATTAACATCATATGATAAAGCTGATAATTTTGGTAACTATTGAAAAAATTTTAATATGAATATATTGCTAATTGTGACTTTAAAGTGTTGTAATGCCTTTAATACTGATAATGAATCAGTGCACACGACAATTTTGCCTCACTGGTTTTCACAACACCGTTCAAGGGCTTTATATATAGCACATTCAGCGAAAAAGATGCAGGATTGAATATGTAAAGTAAATGCTTATTTTGTCTTTATTTTGGTACAAAGTAAGAACTGGTTGTAACTAATTTTGACTCTTCTGTATTGATTCTCAACATAAATGAACTGAATAAACCTTTGAGCACTATTGAAAACTCCAGTCTTATACTATACGGTATCTATATTTCCTTTTTCTCACTCAGCAATACCTTAAAGAAGCTGCATATTTTAAAATATATACAGGACACTTATAAGTTCACACATAAGCAACGTCTCAATCGTTTATTTCTTGAAGACTTTATCCAACGACCTCTTGCATAATTTGCGAAATATTCACTTAACTGAGAACGAACGTAATTTAAAAGTGTCTTTATGTGTTTAAATGTAAAAAAGTGTAACATTGGAATTAATATTTGGGCTTGTTTAAAGAAGAAAACCTCATAATTGCCCAGAAAAAATCGGCCTAATAGCTGAGTCCATAACAAGGACAGCTAGAGATTTTATGACGCAAAAAAATGAACCTGAAGATAAAATATCTCTATATTAATCATGTATGCCTGTTAGAGATAGATTAAATTACGAATTAGAGCGCCATCAAGAGAAGCAGGTTGTAAACAGACTAGAGAAAGAAATAAATAAAAAGCTAGAGAATTCAGTCAAACAGGATATAGAAAAAGAGTGGCAGGCCATACAGACAGACCATGTCAGAAGCAGCGGAAAAGTGTATAACAAGAGAGTATATAAAAAGACGGCAAGACTGGTTTGATGAAGAATTTAGGAATGCTTTGGTAAGAAGAAACAGGGCAAAACTGCGAAGCGATAAAGAAAATACCCAAAATGCGCTCGAAAACTTTGTAGCAAGAAGAGAAGCGATAATAATTTGCAGAAAAAAGAAAAGAGAACATCTAGAACAGCAATTAAAAAACATAGAAGAAGCCTACATAAACAAAGAGGTAAGTAATTCCTACCAAGAAGTTAAGAAATCCAGAGAAATTACAAAGAATAAGCCACAGTATTGCAGAAACAAAGGTTTACTTCTAGGAGAAACAGGAGAAAAATTAAACAGATGGGCGGAATATTTCGAAGATCTATTAAATACAGACCAACAAGAGGAATTCGAGAGAAATAAGAATTGACAAGAAGATGAAGAAGGGATGTGCGAGTAATCAACTTTGAATGAAATCGAAGGAATACTAAGAGACCTAAAAAATAACATGAGCGCAAAAGAAAGTGATATCCCAGCTGAGATTTTTAAGGAACGTGGTGAAAGATTGAAGGAAAGGATATTTTACTTGATATTAATAATTTGGCAAAAGGAAGAAATGCCGAAACAGTGGAATATCGCTCTTCTTTGTTCTATCTATATAAAGAAGACAAAACGGAGTGCGAAAACTATAGAAGTATAGCACTATTAGAAGTAGTCTATAAAATACTTGCAAAAATGAGTAAAGATTGGAGAACACCAGGGAGGTTTTAGACCAGGGAGAATAACTACTGATTAAATAAGTATGTTAAAATTAATACAAAATAATAGCTAGGAACAAAACTTAGGATTATGCTCTTTATAGATATTAAACAAGCATATGACTCCATAAATCGAACGATGCTATATGAGGCCATGCGAACATTAGAAATACCAGAAAAACTTGTAAGGCTTGTGATAATAACGCTTAGGAACACGATAAATAGGGTAACAATGGAAGGAAACTTTTCAAGACAGTTCACAGTAAATAGAGGTTCAAAACAAGGCGATCCACTATCAACGAATTTATTCAACCTAGTATTAGAACAAATCGTCAGAAGATCAAATATGGGCACAAACGTGACTATTTTCAGTAGCAGGGAACAATGCATAGCGTACGCGGATGATGTGGTGATACTAGCGAGAACAAAAAAACATTTAGAAAAAGTTTTCCAGAAATTAAAAAAAAAACGAAAAGATACGGATTAATAATAAACCAAACAAAACGCAATATATGAAATTAGAGAGGACATAACAAATAATAACAAATATCAAAATTAAAGTAATAGAGACTGTCTATAGTTTCGAAAAAGTGTCAGAATTTGAATACTTATAAAGTAACCATAACGGGGAAAAGAAAAAGAGGTAGACAAAAGATTAATGAAGGGAAGCAGAGCGATATGGTCATTAAATTCATTACTGAAAGCAAATAATGTGTCAAGAACAGGTAAACTGCGAGTCTACGAGGCAGTAATCAGACACACAGTGATGTATGCCAATGAAACGTGGATTATTAACCAGCAGCATGAAAAGAAAGTAGAGATGTGAGAAAGAAAGGTGCTCAGAATAATCTTCGCAAGAATAAAGACGTCAGAGAATATTTGGAGAAGACGAACAAATAGAGAAATATTGAGGATGTATGGAAAACCAGCAATTACGGCAAAAATACGAGCCCAAAGAGCTAGATCGCTTGGTCACATTATACGACTGCCAGAGAATCGAAATGTTAAAACAGTACCGAAGGAGGGAGAAATGGGAGAAAAAGAAGAGGACGTCCAAATAAAAAATGGTTGGAAGCAGTAAAGCAAGACTTTTTAGAAATATGCGTGAGAAATTTTAAAGAGAAAACAAGGGGCGGAAAAAATGGAGGGAAATAACTAAGGAAGCCAGGGGCCTAAAATGCCTATAGCGCTGTTATATATAATAATGTACATGTACACAAAAAATTCTCATATATTAAGTACTTTTTTTAATCAATACAAACTTTTGACCTTTTCCTATAATGCTCATGTGGGATGATTCCCTTTAGAAAAAAATTCTTCTAATTGTACTGAATGTCACTCTGAGATATACGTGATTTTTTAAAGATTTTAAAAAAGTAAAATATCACTCTTTCCTTGTTCGTTCGTTACACAATGACATTCCACCTTTGACCTTTAAGCGAGCTGCTGACTACAGTACACCGGAGAGCGCGTGGGTGTTGTAACGATCCAATTTTCCGATGGGGGAAACTTCCCAGTTTTCCATGTGGACGGTATTCGATCTGAATTCGAAAGCTGTTCGTCTGTTCGCGTCAGCTGAACATTTCTCGTAAACAATCAATTTCTTATTTAATATTTTGTTTATGTGTCATTTATATTATCGGTTTGTTTATGGATTGACGATGGCGGACAGTGGGAGGGATCGTGACGGTGGTTGAAGGGTGTGTTCACCAGGTAATTTTTAGTAGATTATATATTATTAATGTTTTTGCGCTTTAAACAATAAAGTTATCT